TTCTGGCCGTTGTGGCTTATTTCAACACATGACGTCGAAAACTCAGATAAATATTTAAAATTGTACTTTTAATAAACAAGACTAAAGTTACAATGTTAATTCAATCTCTTTGCCCAGCTTCAACTTTTCCGCAAATTTTCTTTGGGCTGAATCTTTTTCAGTACAGACAGAGAGAGAAATGGTCATGTCCTTGCACCGAAATTTGTATGGGACTGACCACCAACCATTTGAGATACACAAACTTGAATTAGCATACTAAAAACATGTAACTATTTGCCGTACATATCACCGTAAACAACCTGTTAACTCTGTTATCCTTCCACCTCTAAATAAATTATGAATATTTACCAAAACCTGGCAGAAAATGTCAATTCAAACCTTCCTCGTCCAATTTAGACCAACTAGGTCATTTCGGGACTAACACATGGTTCAATTTTATTTCAATAATTAGCTAGCTCCTTGGGATCTCTAGCAGTTGGAGGAAATCGAAGGACCCTATTCCTTGCCACTTACAACCGGTAATCGAAACCACGTCACTTGACACAGGCGTTAACCATTCGCCCCTACCTAAAGCCCAGCTTAGGCATGGACCTGAGGGGCCAGGCTGTTTACGGGGCCCTACGGTTCATGGCCTAAAGAGGAAAAAAATCAAATTCCAGATGAAAGATTCACGGTAATCGATCTAGCGGCGCGAGGGCGGATACTGGGCTATCAGTCAGCCTTCTATGTGAAGTTCCATTCGGTGATTGCTCTAGGCATCTAGCGGCGCCATGGGCGGAGACTGCGTGAGTCTGCAATACCCCAACCTTCTCTTTGATTGGTCAAAACCCATTCAGAAGGATATGAAATAATCTTTTCGTCGCGTCAGGGGTCCCGCGATTCTAGTCAGGCCCAGGGCCCCGCTTCGGTTAAGCTGGACTTTGCCCCAACCCACCCCCAACTCCCGCTTATCCTAATGAAATGTACTGAACTATATTGTCTCAACACTATCGACACCTTGTGTATCTGGAATCTTGTGTAACTTAATGTAGAATGGGCACCGTGTGTATCTTGACTGCCATATTTCGATTCACCAACGTCTCACTGGTTAAATATATTACACTATTTACTTCCATCATTTATCTTGACTACCACGTCTCGAATGTCGACCTTCTCGTTTAGAGTCAGTTTTACTGGTGACGGACACGACACTATCACTGCTACCATCACTAGATAGAAGATGATCATAACAGTTGTATCCGCTATCTACATACCTATAAAATAACAACAGTTTATTTAAACATTCAGTATACCAGAGCTATGCTTATACCGCGGAGTATTCTGGCTTCAAATAATATATCAATTATCATATCAACATTTGATAATATTACAAGAGGTCACCGGATGGCTTAGATTTTAAGTGGACTAGACAATGTCCGAGACTTCGTTTATTATCCTAATACTTGACAATCGAGAATTAGCATCTGCCAATGATGGATATGACTGGACCAATCTTTCCACGGAACTATCCAAACTATGATCTAGCGTGCAGGGACCGGTTTACTAACCGTTTTCTAGACCAGAATTTGTGTTCATGGCGGAAGGATTTACGTAACTGTGTTGATTTATCTGTTCGGCCTTCTAACCAATATGTCGTCTGCTCGCCCTTTCCCTACAATATAAAACATCGTTTATTATAACAATTTGTCAACCATACTGCCAGGTCTAGCGCTAATCTCATTCTCTATAGATCTACTGTCAGGTCAAGCGAAGATGTAAATATGTTTGAATTGGACCGTGGGTGTGAGGAGCGGAGGTGGCAATTCAAAAAGTACCAACATTCTAATGGTTGATGGTACTATATGTTCTATAGGCCGAGTGATGGGTTTGTAGGCCAAGTGCGTGGTACTATATGTTCTATAGTCCAAGTGGGTGGGTCTGTAGGCCAAGTGCGTGGTACTATATGTTCTATAGTCCAAGTGGGTGAGTCTGTAGGTTGATGGTACTATATGTTCTATAGTCCAAGTGGGTGGGTCTGTAGGTTGATGGTACTATATGTCCTATAGACCAAGTGGGTGGATCTGTAGGCCGATCGTCGACCAATAATGAAAATTCCAATACAATAGTTTCATTGCACTTAACCTAGTAAAACCAGTAGAAGGGGAAATTCCCCCCTTCCCCCCTCTCCCCCCCTCTTTCTCTCTCTCTCTCTCTCTCATACCTTGATCATAGTACATGTATATAACACTTGAAGTGGAAAAGTGCCTTTATCATAGAATGTGCCACTTATTATGCTAGTAAACTCCACATCATATGTGATAAACAATTATGATGTGTGAGAATCGACAAAATGTGTGAGAGTGCCTTTACCCGTCATTCTAGCAAACACCCTTGTTGTGTGAGAAGTAATTAAAATGTGTGGGAGTGCCATTACCCATTATGCTAGTAATCACCCTTGTTGTGTAAGAATCAATAAAAATGTGTGAGAGTGCTTTTACCCATTATGCTAGTTAACATCTTTGTTGAATGAGAAATGCGTGAGAGTGCCTTTATCCTAGTAAATTCATTAAAAAAACATCCCTTGAATATTCTTTAAAAATAAAGACGATGCCAAAAAACCCGTTATTTTAAACGTGGGATAAGGAAATTGTGTGTTTTATAGAAAATATATCATATTAACTCAAATATCCCCCTCATTTCAACATATAAATGGCTGACGGCGATATCCGAGAGGAACAAAAGAATGATAGTTTCCACATGCGGCCATTACTTGAATCGTGTATTACACACCACGTGTAGATAATACAGATTATATAACACACCACGTGTTAATTTGAATTGTTTTAAAGTCGACATTTGTAAAATTTAAATTATAAAAACTTCCCTTCCCGTCTATTAAAACTGGTCGTCAGTTGAATATAAAGTTTAATAGACCACCGACGTGAAAACATTTAATATAGTGGATAAAAAATAGAAAAGTGTTTTAATAAAACTAAATTAGCTCTCGAGTGTCTATTCCTTGTGCTTTCGGATGAAAGAGTGGGGTGCCGAGGAGGTAGGAGGGAGTGGACATCGATCATAAAGGGTTGTAGGGAGTGGGCATCGATCATAAAGGGACGGAGGGAGTGGGCATCGATTATAAAGGGATAGAGGGAGGGGGAGCCAATCATAAACGGACGGAGGCAGTGGGCATCGATTATAAAGGGACGGAGGGGGGGGGGGCATCGATCATAAAGGGACGGAGGAGGGAGGGGGCGCCGATCATAAACGGAGGGAGGGAGAGGGCATCGATTATAAGGAGACGGGTCGAGGGAGTGTGCATCGATCATAAAGGGACGGAGGAGGGAGGGGCCGTCGATTATAAAGGAACGGAGGAGGGAGGGGGTGTTGATCATAAAGGGACAGGTGAGGGAGGGGGTATCGATTATAAAGGAACTCAGGAGCGAGGGGTAACGCTCATACAGGTACGGAGGCTTGAAGGGGGCGTCGATCATAAATGGAGGGGGGGGGGGGCGTCGATAATAAAGGGACGGAGGAGGTGGGGGAGGCATGGATCGCAAATTAACGGAGAAGGGACGGGGTATCGATCTTAGATACGGTCGCTTCAATTGAAAAGTTGATAGATTTATTTTTGAATGTTTTAAGCAATTCGGCTATCTATTGCCTATATCACATCACTGCACACGTGACCAAAAACAAATTCATGTATGGCAATCTGAATATGACAGAAGTTTTATTTTAGTTGAACATTGAACTCAATTCCTTCGTTTTATAAACACAACGGTGACGAAATGTCGCTTGAAGACATCCGGACAGCAGTGAAATGTCTGTTAGGAATACAAAACACAAAGACGAGAACTGTTTGTATTAGCGACATATAATTGATAACATTATTTCATTATGAATACAAGAAAAGGTCTGTTTATATTTTACATGCTACAAGCCCGAATCATTCGGTACACTATTTGTTTTCATAGCCTTAATAACGTGCACTACGTCATATTGATGACATTTAAAGTAGCAGGGGAATAAAGGGTTTTATAACTCGGATAATTGTAAGCAAATAAAGTCGGGTTTCTGTTCCGACTGGCCTATCGAAGACTGGCTTACGTCATAAAGTGTACAATGAGGGAAATTGTAGCCCGGTCAGTCGCACTAAAGCCTAATCTTATTTCGAATTCCAATTGTCAAGGTTTCTTTTACGTGCACACGAGGCCTTGGTTTTTCATCCTATCCTAACGACATGAGGGTTCTTGTCAGTTAAACAGAGAGAGGGGGGGGGGATTATGAGAGAGAGAGAGAGAGAGAGAGAGAGAGAGAGAGAAATGAGGTTTAACGTCCACTCGATACAAACTAGGTCATTTCGGGACTAAAGGGAGATGAAGAGAGGGAGAGTTTATTTTTTTATGTAGCTCACGAGAAGTGTCTTAAGATGTGAGGGAAAACTAGGTGACCCGGACGAAACCCACGAGTTTAGGATGGCGACCCTACTCCTTGTCACTCAAGTTAATGACAGACATAATATTAAAAGTTCTAAGATGTACCGGGTTTGATACCGATGTTAGTTCCTCGGAATATTCATGTCGGATTTCTCCGTCTCTAAGAGAAAAGTAAATGAAATGGGGTTTAACGTTCTACTATTCTGTTCCTACGAGGCTTATGGATACAGGCAAACACCATGCGCTGTGTCTACTCCTATGTACAATTCTAACTACCAAGGGATCTTTGAATTACACGCCAATATGTACACGGGACCTTTTTTTAGTCCTATCCGAATGACTATACGATGTCAATAGATTATGCAACATTGGGTTTTAGGAGAAAAAAAAGAAAAACACCCCGAAAATGAATCGCAGGAATGTTCTAAAATATCCGTCAAACCGTAGCTTTAAATGGGAAACCCGATGTCCCACATGTGACAAGTGATAATATATATTTCATCCTCGATACGGAACTAGGTTCAAGTCGTGACACACAATGTGTTCAGTTCCCCGGTTCCACTGTTACAGAGAAAAGGTCACGAACTGGAGAGGTCAACTTGACGGAAGTTAACAGCGGAAAAACACAGGACATGTGGAAACGATCGTATTATAGAATTTATTTGTGTGAACATATGTTCTTTATCTGAATCTAATTCTCTCTACAAGAACTCAAGTTGCTGTCTTTCTTTGTACAAACATCGACACCACAGACAGAGAGACATGTTGGATTTCTAAAGAACAAAGGAATCATTATTTTGGGATAATATTTAATTAAAAGGTAGGAGTGTAGTTTTATAAGTTGGTCGGTTATTATTATTATAAAGTAAATTGTTGTTTTATATAAACTGAATTATTATTAAACAACCAGTTTATTATTAGTATAAAGTAAATTGTTATTAATTAAAACAACCAACTTATTAGTATAAAGTAAATTGTTGTTAATTAAAACAACCAGTTTATTATTATTATTATAATTATAAAGTAAACTGTTGTTAATTAAAACAATCAGCTGGACCTCCTGTTTTAACCTGTTTTTTATTATGACAAAGGAAGAAGATGACCCGCCCTCTCTTCTCACTACAGCGATTTTATAAGTGTGTTTTAAACTGACTTTTTGATATACAAGAACTTTTTATTTTGTTGTTTTTTTTATCAATCTTAAGGTGACTTTTGATATACACGGACGTTTTTATTTTGTATTTTTACCAATTTTCAACCCATTAAGTGTAAATAATAAAATTAAATCAACCATTCTATAATATCATATTTAATGTATTGGATGTTAAATCAACCTGTCTATAATATCATATTTAATGTATTGGATGTTAAATCAACCATTCTATAATATCATATTTAACGTATTGGATGTTAAATCAACCTGTCCATAATATCATATTTAACGTATTGGATGTTAAATCAACCTGTCCATAATATCATATTTAACGTATTGGATAATTACTGATATTAATGACAGCCACCGTGGTTCAGTTAGTAAGGTGTGTTCACTATCCAGAGTAAGGTGAAAGTTTACTGTCCAGGCGGTCTCACGGTTCGATATCTCTATGCATGTTGGTCTAGCGACAGCTCTCCCGAATTTTCAAGCGTGCATTTCCTTGTCAGTGGTGCAAGACGGAGCCCCGGACAGGGACAGAGTCTAGTCGTTCGGGTGGAACGAAAAACAACCCATTTGTTGTATAATTACTAAAAATAAATATAGTTTAACCGTGATAGACAAACAATATTTTAACCGTTGAATATTGAAAATAAGTTTTATCCGTCCATTTCAAATAGAATTTGCACCCAACCAATTATTTAATAAAACGGGATTCGCCCCATAAAGCCTGTAATTTATACAATTCTCTTCAATTTATTATTAAAATAAATTTTTTTATTTATTTATTTTTCATATATTCGTAGAGTTGGGCAAAATGTCTATCATTGCACTCTGTATGATGCCCGTCTTCACTTGACCAAGGGTTTCCGATAACAGAAACAAATAAAGTTATCACCTACCAGTACAAGTTTTAGACATGAATTGAAATGGGGTTTAACGTCCTACTATTCTGCTCCAATAAGAAATGGGGTTTAAAGCCCTAATGGTCTACTCCAAATGGGCTAATGAAGACGGACATACGCCATACAGTGTGCTATGAGGGCAATTTTGCCCAGACAGAGGCGCTTTGGCATACTCTTTTTCAAATTCCAACTGCCAAGGGATCTTTTACGTTCACGGGACCTCGCAAGTTTTAAATAGTAATAATTAGCGACATGCAGAAGTAGAAACCTATCATTTTGTAATCATCTCTTTTAATTACTTATTGAGTTGTTGCCCTTGTTCAGTTTTTATCTTCTTGTAAATGCTTCCATTACCTATAAACAAACGCCTTTAGGGACTGGACTACACGGACGACTTTGTTACTGTGGTTCTGTCAACCTTTTGTTTAATTTATAAATATTATTATGTATTAATACGTTTTGTATATTTCAGACGATGATTGGGTTGTACTCGGCCACCATATTGTTGGTGGTGACGTGTCTGTATCCTAGCAACTGTCAGACACCTGACAACATCTGTCAATCATCAGCATATCGTAATCTACCACCAGGACTTCAGAATGAACATCAGTGTATGGTCCTAGAACGTTTACAACGTGACATGCAGAACGAAAAATTAACAAGAGACAGGCAATTCAACAGTATCCTTACGTACGTAATTCTATTCCATTCAATAAAAAGATAGGGAAATGGGGTTTACCGTCCACTCAATAAAAGAGACATGGTTCAATTTTACTGGGTCATTTTAATTTTCTTTCAATAATTCAGCAGTTGGAGGAAACCGGAGGACCCGGACAAAACCCTCAAGATTGGGCACACGAACCCACTCCCTGTCACGTACAAGTATGAGATACAAACCTCACGTGATTCAATGACAGACCCTATGGCCTAATTCGCAATTATTAGACCACTTTGGGAGCTAATAAAGAAAGTGCATCTAGACGTTCTGATGTTAAAAACAAGATACCCACTCTTGATAGTTGAGATATGGAGAAAAATAGGCGGGATTGTGCTGTCAGGTTAAAATCCCCCTCCCATCTCATTTTTCTTTGCCCCATAAGAACGACTCGATCTTATTTCGTGCCATGCACCACTAACACTGGAAACACCCGTGAAACACCAGGATGAAACCGGAGTCCTCCAGCACAGTTAGTGATCCAGCACCATATTCGCCGATCCACCGTGGTCCCTCATCTTTCTAATACCTTATTTACACAGAACCACTGTAGTCCCTCTTCTTTCTTATACCTTATTTACACCTAACCACTGTGGCCCCCTTCTTTCTAATACCTTATTTACACCTAACCACTGTGGTCCCTCTTCTTTCTTATACCTTATTTACACCTAACCACTGTGGCCCCCTTCTTTCTAATACCTTATTTACACCTAACCACTGTGGTCCCTCTTATTTCTAATACCTTATTTACACCTAACCACTGTGGTCCCTCTTCTTTCTTATACCTTATTTACACCTAACCACTGTGGCCCCCTTCTTTCTAATACCTTATTTACACCTAACCACTGTGGTCCCTCTTCTTTCTAATACCTTATTTACACCGACCACTGTGGCCCCCGTCTTTCTAATACCTTATTTACACCTAACCACTGTGGTCCCTCTTCTTTCTTATACCTTATTTACACCTAACCACTGTGGCCCCCTTCTTTCTAATACCTTATTTACACCTAACCAATATGGTCCCTCTTCTTTCTAATACCTTATTTACACCGACCACCGTGGCCCCCCTTCTTTCTAATACCTTATTTACACCTAACCACTGTGGTCCCTCTTCTTTCTTATACCTTATTTACACCTAACCACTGTGGCCCCCTTCTTTCTAATACCTTATTTACACCTAACCACTGTGGTCCCTCTTCTTTCTAATACCTTATTTACACCTAACCACCGTGGTCCCTCTTCTTTCTAATACCTTATTTACACCTAACCACTGTGGCCCCCTTCTTTCTAATACCTTATTTACACCTAACCACTGTGGTCCCTCTTCTTTCTTATACCTTATTTACACCTAACCACTGTGGCCCCCTTCTTTCTAATACCTTATTTACACCTAACCACTGTGGCCCCCTTCTTTCTAATACCTTATTTACACCTAACCACTGTGGTTCCTCTTCTTTCTAATACCTTATTTACACCTAACCACTGTGGCCCCCTTCTTTCTAATACCTTATTTACACCGAATGTTTAATTTATATAAATTATTAGCTCGACATGTGTTATCTTGTTATTTAGGAAGTTGTCTCGACTTGATATTAAAATGCAAGCTGGATTTCATCGTGTTAAAGATATACCGAGTGCCAACAGAGCGAGAGGATTCCCAGCTCTTAAAGATATAACAGTGGCAAGAAGTAAGTTTTACCTTTTATTGAACATTTTAAACAAAGAACCATTAATCAACCTTAAATCATACTGATTGTAAAAGATGCGTTTGATTTACAAATCAATAGGGTTCTTCCTGTCAATATGACAGACAAACAATTTCAGACTGATTGGATCGGAACTGATGCCTCGACGGTGCTAAGTTCGTAATAATGGGAAATGTCCCTAAAAAGTTATTTAAAATCATCGAAATCCGTAAATGATAGACTTCATTATCCCCTGTATAGTATATGATAGACTTCATTATCCCCTGTATAGTATATGATAGACTTCATTATCCCCTGTATAGTATATGATAGACTTCATTATCCCCTGTATAGTATATGATAGACTTCATTATCCCCTGTATAGTATATGATAGACTTCATTATCCTACTGCATAGTGTATGATAGACTTCATTGGTTTTTTATTTGATGTCATTTGTTTGTTTCAGATTGTTACGAACTGAAAATGAGTGGTCTCAATCTTAGTGGAGTTTATCCTCTTAAACTTCCCAGTGGATACGTTGTTAATGTTTGGTGCGATATGGAAATGCAGGGTGGTGGATGGACCGTCATTCAGCGACGTTTTGACGGATCAGTGAACTTTACGCGAGGATGGGACGATTACGCTTTTGGATTCGGAAACGTGAATTCCGAGTTTTGGTTGGGTAATGAGAATATATATTACATGTTACGCAACACGAATTACACGCTACGGATAGACCTCCTGGACTGGGAGGATCAGCACGCATGGGCACAGTATGATTATTTTAAAGTGGCGAGTGAAGAGAATAAATACAAGCTGACGGTCAATGGATTCTCGGGGACGGCCGGAGATTCCCTCGCCTATCACAATAATATGTTCTTCAGTACCATGGATCGCGATCACGACAAATGGTACGCTAGTTGCTCCCATAAAGATCGGTCCGGTTGGTGGTTTAATGCCTGCAGTTACGCGTCCCTTAATGGAATATTTCACCCCAACGGAGAACAGAATATCACACCAGATGGCGTTATTACTGGCATCACGTGGTTCGAATGGAAACAGAACCTCGCGTATTCGATGAAGCGCGTGGAGATGAAGATCAAACCGAGGGTAGCCTTAATGGCGGAAGCAGAAGGCCTCATCGGTGGATATGACTGATTTTAACAGTTTGTATTTCTGAACGAATATACCGACATTTATTCGTAGATAACTTTCTTGTTTTTACTAAAATGGTAAAGTATATGAAAATGTTTTCTGGTCACAGAAGAGTTTCTTATGTATAAATTCATGTCATTATATAATTGCAGGTGATTTATTTTATTTATCTTAAACACGTCCTGTCACGACATAGTCGGGGCAACAGAGCACACACACACAACAAGGATGTGAACAAAGCCCGGGGTGTGCGTGTGAGTGTGTGGGATGGGGAGGGGGTCAACGGTCAACGTTTTGTCCGGCGTGAGATCTTGGGGATTACTAGAATTTGATATTCACTTGATTTGATATTTGTTTATTTCTTGCAATGTCTATGTTCTGTCTTGTCCGCAGGTTTATCTTGTAGATTTTGTTTTGCGTGTAGGGCGTGTAGGGCTGTTCCTACTATTAACTGTTTAATTGTGCAATGCGAGAGGGGGATTTTGCTGGGACAGTGGCGTTTACGCATACTTTTCTTCGAACTCCAAATGTCAACTGCTCTTTTATGTGATAATAATTGTACCGTGCGGTAAGGACGGCCAGCCCTCGATAAACTACTAGAAGGTTTTATTACCCAACAAATACCTTCTCGAAGTATGTAATAAAATCTAATCGGGTGTATGAGTATATTATTATACTCTTTTTCGTTTCATTTATAAATTATCATTAGCATATTCCCACGGCCGTGGTGGGTTTTAGTACCGACACTTGGTCGCAGTTATGCCGTGAGTTGAGATTGTATTAGTAGAAGAAAGTAAGCCCTCGTTTTTGAAGGTCTTTGCTCAATCTGTTTTACAGAGGTAATGCGAAAACTGGTCCGGGAAGAATGATGCCTTTCACTTATTTTTTATACTCTTTACGTCAAATCAATAATATGTCACGCGAGCTTCAGATATAAAACGTTCAAAGGACTGTTGAATTATTAGATAATTAGTATTTCCAGAGAAAGTATTATTGCCCCCCCCCCCCCCACGACATAATAAGCATACTATGTCCCTTGCACGACATCCCACAAATTAGTAACCACGTACTCGTGGAAGAGACCATTGCCTCATGTTGATTGGATATTGTAATATAATGCTATGTAACCAGTTATGGATTCAGACAGATTAATTACTATAATTGCTATAATAGTTAATACATAATGCAAAATGTGTCACAAGTTATTGCTATTTTAACATTTTTAATGATTCAAGGCTTGTTTGAATCGAGCAAATATTGACTGAGCTATATCCGTATGAAGGTGCCCAAGGCAGAAAAGGAAGTTTTGAGAAAAAGACATTCAAAGATGTCGATATGTTCAAAAACAAGATAATATTATTTGTTATTTTGTGGTTAAATATTTCTTTCTACAGCTTTTCAGGGGTGCCGAAAACGAAAATCTTAGTTTTAGGTCGATCCGACAATATGTCACTAAAATGACGCATTTGTCAGTTTCACCAGTTATGTGTTTATTAATGTTATTTTATAGGTTTTAAGGGGTGCCGAATATGACAATTCTAGTATTAGGAGTCATAAACATTTACACAAGACAAACCCACGGACAAGACACACAATATAAGCCCACGCGGACATTTCAAAAAATAAACAGAAACGTATAAGGGGCCAGCCGCAATCGTCCACTGCGCGATCTCTTATCAGTAGGTCATATTTTATTGCTTGTATCCTAATATCGAAATTTATTCAAGTTAGATAATGGTTCGGCTCTGTAACGAATCTAGAAAAATCTAGTTTTTGTTTTAGGATGTATTAGATTATTTAACATTTAAAGATGCATTATACAGGAGATAAATCTGTAACTACCAGGTATTTTTAAAGATGCATTATACAAGAGATAAATCTGAAACTGTCAGGTATTTTTCCTGGCTTAAAATGTTATATTAATATTATTTAGATATTTATTCACATGGCAAGCCAATAATCAACTCTCTCTAGACCATCGGATGATTCAGATATTGACTGGATTGTACATATGTGGTGTGCTGTATGATTGTATATCTGGGACGCCTGGCTTGTTCATTCCCATGGTGTCTCCAGATCTTATATATACTTCGTGGGGAATCTTATTTGTCTAATTCGGTGGCGATGTATGAATTTCATGACTGGGGTTGCAAGTTCGATTGGGGGTGTATGGAGAGGACGGCTTCTTCTCTTTGAGAAAACTCCTAAGTTCAACCCGGACTAGGTTATAGTCGCGTAACGCAACTTGGGTGTAAATATGTGACGTATACTGATGTTCAGTAACAACTGAATGAAATTGAATCAGTTTAGCTATTAAAAGAGACAATGGAGGCGATGTTTACCCTTAATAGAACATCTGATACCATTTATCATGCGTATTGGGAGTTTATAAAGATTACAGTTAGTATTTTAATCTATAAAAACCACACAATAGAAACTTAAAGTCGTATGGAACATATCTTCTAGACCGATATTAGGAACTGCATTCCGTTAGTGTTTATCTTCCATTTCCATCGATGGTGATATCGCAGACAAGCTGTCTTATTTTATTATGCTTAACGTATGCGCAGGCAGGGGACTTCCTGTGGGAGGAAAGCGGAGTACCGGGAGTAAACCCACGAGGTTCAGAAGGCTCCATATCCTTAAGCCACAGACGCTTACACCAGAGTTCGAACCCACGACCAGAAGTCAGAGGTGACAGGGAGCTCGAAGCGCAACACTCGAGACCACTTGGTCATCTCAACCCCACGTAAAGTGGCCTGGTTTCCATCCCATTCTTGTACTTGACGAGGAGTATGGTTGTCTACCTACACGCAAGCGAATGATTGAAATAAAATTCTATCGTGTGGTAGTCCCGCAATTACATACCTACATACTGGCTTCAGCTGACTTCAGTATTGAAATAAAATGAGTCGACCTGCGCCCCTCTAAGGGCTCAAAGCAACAAGTTCCAGTCAGTTGAATCCAGTTGCACAATTCGACATAAGCCCGGATTAAAGATTTCATTATTATCTGTTGATTTAATGACTTCATCATTTCACATCTTAGAACGCGAACGTCAACCTATTTTCTATCCATGAACATCGAGGTCAAGACGGTACCTAACCTGAGTTTAGTTAATCATCTACATTGATATCTAAAGAACACATTCAGCTCCCGCCTTGTTTAAATTTAAATAAGGAAAATGACTATACTATTTAGCTCAGCGCAACTTTAATATCATTTAAGAAATGTTACAGAGAAACAAATATGATTATCTGAAACTTTCCATTTGAGGAGTCTAAAAATAGACGATGACGTAATGACTATACACAAAAGACAAACAACTATTATACGCGTTATGGATAGATCGTTTGATATTTATAATTAATAGATTACAAATTTCACGAAAACCAACATGCCCGAGTTCATTCAAAATAAATATTGCCTTGTAGTTGAATGATTGGCAGCGTCCCGTTATGAAGTGGGTATTTTTAAGTATAGCATATGTACCGGATGCAAACAATTTGGTTTGAAAGTGTGTCATGCGCATCTCAGATAATGTATACTGTGCCCTTAACCGCTATTATATAATGAATGAAATGAAACGGGGTTTAACGTTCCACGTTTCTGTACCAACCGGGATAACGAAGACAGGTATACAACATACAGTAAGCTGTGAGGGGAATTTTTTCAGGTCAGCGGCGCTATAGGACCTCGTGTTTCGAATTCCAACTGTCAACGGTTCTTTTACGTCCATGCCAACTAGTACACTAGACGCTGTCGTTTCCAGCATCCCTCCACGTCTGACAATGGAAAACCATGCTTAAACATTCCATATGTCAAGGGTTCTTTTACGTGCATGCCAAAGATTACACGGGATTTTTCGTACCATCCGAACAACTAGAAGTATTTAATATATAATTCCTTACAATGATGAGTCGATGGATTGGCGAGTACCTGTGGAAAAGACCACTCAGAAAACTCGATCAAGTGTATCATGTACGCCGTATGTGCTAAAACAATCGGAAATCGGGCTGAACATCATGTGAGGGATTTATATACATGTACCTTGAAAACTACACTATTTTGAAACACGAATCTCTAAAAGAAATACCGAACCAAAATGTTTTGTCAGTTCAAGATTTAAAACGATTTGGTGAATTGAACATTTCGCAACATTCAGCATCCTTTGTGGACGATGTAAACACCTAAAAGTGTTGGGTAAATCTAGTCAGTTGAACATTTCGCTATATTCAGCATCCTTCGTGGACGATGTAAACACCTATATTCAGCATCCTTTCTGGACGATGTAAACACCTAAAAGTGTTGGGTAAATCTTTTCATGATCTTTTTTTTAATCCGATTGAACCCAAGCCACTCGATTACCTGATTTGAAAGAAATGTGAGAATATTTTAGCGCTGTTTACGCCGTGAAAATTTAGATATTGTGTGAAAAATACAACTAATGATCATAAATATGCTATTTAAAATGTTTTTATTTCAATCCGATATTACCCTATACGTTTATATCTTCCTTTGATTTAATGACATTGGATATCTTGTCCCAGAAAGCAATACTTAACGGATGCTGCAGATCAACATATAGAATGTTGTCCTCGGTGACAGCTTCAAGCAGAAAATCAAGATTAGCCGTTAGATGTATCTGATGATCGATTAAAACGATTAATCTCTGGGGTGTTGTCAGTGTTATTGATGATAAACAGTTACACATGGCAAAATAGGCTAGATCACTTCTCAAAAAATCTTCGGTTAAGATTAAAACAATCTTCCAACTGTCACGTATAGCTTCCAACAGGTCATCGGCTCGGGAACCACCAGGTAGGTGATCTCTATCACGAAGGTTTAGTTTGATTCCACGATTTGTTTCCAGTTCATTTCTCAGTTCATTACAAACCCAACCGGAGATAGAGTCTGTGTATATTATAAATGCGTCATACACAAAATCATCTCTTTTCTTTGGGTAAATATTTTTTCCAATCATCCTTAAAAGCAGTAATTTCAGTTTCATTTTGTTTTTGGTGAAAACAAAGGCTACTATGAGAGTAAGAACAACGATGGCGAATTCCCCAATAGCTATAT